AGTGCATTAACTCACAAAGATGGATATCTCGGAAAATCCTCGTGCGATCGAGATCGTTGCACTCGATAAACGATTTTCCCATGACTATCCCAGACACTGACTTTCGTGGGAGATTATTACGAGTCCTTAAATGTGCCGGGGAAGCTTTTAAGACTTTTCTAGCGGGGTGCTTGAGATGCCGCGATGTGACGAAGCCGTTTTTTGCTCTTCTCTTGTGTTGTTCCAGCTGCATCGTCTTTGTTTCTCGTTTAATTGGAAATCCTTCGTTATTTTGACATCTCTCAAAGAGAAAACATCTTTTGCAATTGTGTATCTGAATAATCGATATACAGAATGTGCCAGAGTTACTGCTAATGGCAGGTTCTTGTAATCACTTGGAGATGATTTCTCAGCGAAAATGTTAAGACATCAATAATTTTAAAGTTGTACGTTATAAGTGTTCAAAAAGAAAAACTTTTCTCAAACTAAACTTAGTCACTTGGAGATGATTTCTCAGCGAAAATGTTAAGACATCAATAATTTTAAAGTTGTACGTTATAAGTGTTCAAAAAGAAAGACTTTTCTCAAACTAAACTTGAAGAGAGTTAAAAGATTATCAAAATTATATTCTTTAGTTAATTTTAAATAGAGTTTATTTTAATAGAATTTTAATTTACAAATATATGTGATGGCAAAAATTAGAAACTTGCGAAAAATAATGATCTCTCTCAACATTTCTGTTAAGAAAAAATCATCCCAAAATCACTTCAAAAATCTGCCATTAGCATGCGATACAATGATTCTTGGAACTAGATATATACATATATGTATATGTATGTATATGTATGTCATATATCAATTTAAAATAATAAATTAAATATTATTATTACTTTTTCATAATAATTAAATATTAATATATGAGCACATTTAGAAATTATACATTATATTTGTTAAATGCATTCTTCTCTGCCGCATTTATCATCCTAAACATCGAATAAATATTCTTCCAGAGATAGCAAGCCATAATTAGAAAAGCAAACGGCGCGAAGAGAAATTTCGCGGCCATATATCTGAAGGAACTGCGTTTTCGCGTGCATTCGAAAGGCGAGGGAAGCAGTTTTCGAGAAACGCGCAGGTTTGCATGGGGTTGGTATAAGGGGCGGGTCGCATCCCCATGACAACCGTTGGCCCCGCTGATGAATCGACTTCGTACGCGGCACATCGGTACACCGGTGAAATACGATTCCTGATTACCACGCAAACTTGGGATTCCTAATTAACAACGAGCGCGCATTTGTTGCTCGAATTACAACTTTCGTGGGTTCCTACTCGGCCACGCGCGTGGAAACCAGCTTTGTAATCCGAGCGTTGATAGGCGCTTTTTGAGAATAGGTTCAATTATCGTCTGCTGTTACAAGCTATGAACAACCGATCTAAACCAATCATATTTAAAGACTGCGATTGAATAAATGAATTTTCCAATAAAGTCACATTTAAATCCTTTAATATGGAATTTAATATATTAGTACAATAAATTTATAAGAGTCTGACAGAAATATATGTAAGATTGATGATTTTCGTAAGAACTTGTAACAATATCTAAATTTATTATGTCGTATACGCTTATCAAAACTATTGTTTTATTATCTTTTCGATACAATAAATGGTACTCATATCTATAAAAAGAACATGTTTTACTTCTGAGCAAAAAGTAAAGCGAACGTCGCGAATTTAAGATGTATCGACGACAGAGGAAAAATTTCACTATCCTTCTTCGGGAAACTTTCCTCAGGGAGATGGAACGCAAAGTCACACGAATGCGCGCACGTTTCTGACAAATGTATCGCAAATTGTCGCTGCAAAGTGCTTAATGCAACCGTCGCGCGACGAGGTGCGATTCGCGACGGCAGAGGAGAAGAGGACAAGGAGATGAGGACGACGAAAGGAGACTCTTAGAGGAGAGACGAGCCATTTCGTCGCGCCCGCCCACGCTAAAACTTCGAGTCCGATGACGAATCGTCGATGTCGCAACGAAAGCATCATCGGCGAACGCGACGCAGCCTAATGGCTTGATAATGTCACCCGCGGAGATAATCGAGCCCGAGATCGCTCGGCCGATTTTTCAACTCCCGCGAATTTTAGAAGCGACACGGACCGATTTTCCGCCTCGCCTCGAGAGTGCACACCGCATATTTTTGCCGGAAAGTTACGCTTTTAAGGCGTCGCGGTGAAAACTTCACGCAAGTTTATCGTATCTTGATTTCGTGCATCCCTAATATTTTTATTCTTTCATTTATTTATAAACTTCTTTGAATTATTAAAAATTGAAGAGCTAAGAGTCTTGAAGAATTAAATGATAAGCAAATGATTATCAATTACAATATTTTTATATCCATGGAACGATTAATAATCAGATGACAATCAGCTGACGAATAACTTGTGAATTTTTCTTTTCATATATTTTTAGGATATATAAGTAATATATTAATTTTGAATTATCAGAGTGTATTTAGAAGCGTCGTATTGTCAGATTGATCCAATAGTGAACTTGACAATGGATGGACGCTGCTGCAGCATAATGGATTCAACAGTCCATAAGGGGTTGGGTCGGTGGCTCGGTTGCCCTCAAATCATCGCGAGAGTGTGAGGCAAATGACGTTCGGCCACGCGGAAGTAACGCGATAATGGCTGCCATGAAAGGTCCCTACCATGATATCTGTTGCTTTGATGTGTCCTCTCTTAGTGCCTCCGCGGCTCTCACCCCCGGTCAATTTTTATTCTTTTTTGTCGATTCTTCACAAGGTCGATTTATTGGATTAATAACATTTCATTCAGCAAATTTATTAATTCCTCATTGTGTGACAGCAATCAGGAATCACTAATTCGATATTAAAAAGATGAGTCATTTTTAATATAAAACTGATTGTTGTTTAAGAAACATAGTGATTGCGAACTGCAGAAAATATAAAAAAAAATAAATTTATATTTAAAAAAAAAATCAAGCATGATAATCTATGATATTTGCAAATTGAAGAGGTTCCATAGAAATCGCGGCAGTTGATCGAAATTATTGTTTGATAGAAGCATAAGTAATCTCTTCTTATGACGCTCATAACTAAAGAATATTTATCGTGGGAAAGAACGTTAGAATATACTGCTATAAAACTCACTGAATCACGCAATCATTATCGATGATATAGAAGATGCTGACGTAACGCGAGGCGGACATTAATAAAAATACTGAACGATTCTGCGAGCGCACGAGTCAGTAATCTCCCATTCAGAAAAGTTAGCCGGGCATTTCAGGTTAATTCGCTACTTGCATTCCGCTCAATGGCTACACGTGAGTGCTACGGACGCTGTAATGAATGGGCACGAGACGATGAGGGTTGGAATGGTGCATATCTCTAGGTGTCGTAATCTGTTAGATCGCCGTCATATATTTTTTGCAGTATTTTATTATAGAGATTATATATTTCTTAACAATTTTTCTCATGATTTGCATAATATTTATACCATATTTTATAATTTCTTGCTATATTAAAATTATATATCTGCAATCTGAAAGTATATCTCAATCATGACAGTTAATAAAAATTTAATATCTTGTAAATTAGCACTTAGCTTAATTTACGAGATATTTCTTGTAAATATATTTCTGTTTAAAACACAAGCTTAAAATATTTTCATCGCTTTATAAAGAGCCACATTGATAACATTTTGCGAGTATCAGTTCTCGGCTCTTTAATCAAAATTTACCGCCTGTGGATCGCAAAAAACGCAGCACAGGCTCCATCTTCTCCTCGCGAGCAGCAAAAATCGATAAACACAATCTTCATCGACTGGAGTCCCTCCCTGAAAAGTACTTACGGCTCAACAATCGAAGCCCGCGATTACGGTCGATCCCTATCAAATGAAGATCGTCCAAAAAAGGGGAATTACTTAGCCACCACCACCCTCGGCGATGCAGGTCGCCGGCATCCGTCGAGGAACAGACGCGTCCGTAGTCGCAGTTTGTCGGCCAATGGGACCAGACAGAAACGCAATCGCAATGCAGGCCAATCCCTCTGCTCGGTTCGTCCACCCGCTCTCGCTCGCCCTCCCGTGCCCGGTAATGACAATCATTACCGGGGAATGATTGCAGCGTCGGGTCCGCCAGCGCGCCAGCCGCGCTATTGGGGGATGGAAACCACCTTATAGAGTCTCTTCTCGGTCCTCGATGCGAGCGGATTGTCACATGCTCCCGCTTGCACGGCGGAGCGCGTTTCCTCTTCTTCGTTCGCACTTCCTCCCGGTTCGATTTTGCGGTGGAGAACTTTCATTCGTGGTGTGAGTGACCGTGACACGGCGGTCAGTCAGTCGGGAACGAACGGAAAAAATAGCGGTCGCAAAGAAAGTTACGCTTTCTTGAGGCCATATCGGGGTCGCACTTCCGGAACATCCGCATCACGTTATCGCGATACTTCCCGAGAGTGAATCGCGACATTTGCTTTTCCGTTCCTCTCTCGCAATTTCTTCCATCCATTCTTCGTAGCAGGAGTGTATAGTGAAGCCGTTTAATTTGTGATCTATCGTCTTGATCAATGACGGATCGATTGAACGGAAGGTCCTCGATTGATTGAAGAGAAATCTGAACGACAATCGGCATGTCCGAATATTAATCTTGATGTCCACATGGCAAACATCAATGTAATGGACAAGAATGCCAGTTATCTTTCTGATGATTTATATGTGAATCGATCGCCATGATGTATCGTTGATCGATTGTTGCGCGATAATATTGCCGTAGCTTCGTTTAGACTGGTCCTCTATGAGTTCCAGTGAAAAAGCTTCCTTCTACATATTGCACGATAAAAACATAGCGGCTTGCATGGCGCACATGTCGCTTTGGATACAAGCTTTTGTGCCGCCATAGCTAACAAACTGCAAATCGATCTCTGAATTACTTTCGATGTTTATGTTTGCCAATCAATGCACATCTGTTGCAGTCACATTTAATGACGAATCGTATCGCGCGAGCATAAGATGATGATGATGATAAATTTACACAATTTTCAAATCGAGAAAACCATAAAAGGAAATCGAAGAGACATCAAATGATATCTCTTTCGATAAAGAGAATGTACGTTGTTATTGATGGTTACGTAAACGCCCACGCCGAGCGACGAATATCTTCTCATCAAGGGATTGTATATCGCAAATTGGACGAGGAGGAGGATTATTACCAGGTGATTATATCAATCGATTTTCTGTCGTTGCACATTTATAAAAAAATATTAAAGTGATGCGCACAAAGTATGCACAATACAATTACGTAACGCATGAATTTATGTGTGGTGTTAGAATATGTCGCTTTGATTACATACGAAGAGGAAATCCGCATCGTATCTCTTAAATATCAATCTTAGTCGAATATCATTCTTTCTTCATATTTTTACTGGGGAGTACTAAAAAGATACTTAATTTTTTGTTCCTATAAAACAATATAACATATTTTCTTTTTTCTTAGAAATTAAAAATTTAATTTAGTAAATTAAAATGTTTTGTTAATGTTATCGCTAGTATTAATTATGCTATACAATTATGCTAGTATACCGAGCCGGACTTGATTAAATAGCAGAATTATCCAGCAAAATTCTTATTCACTTTACGTTTTCGATTCGCGAAATCCTACATACAATTAGCTTTAATAATCGCCTTCGATATTTCGGTTCAGCTGTCACAGATACTGGCATCGCGCCGAGCCTCACAAAACTTGGAAACCCGACCACAGGCTACAACATTTACGACTCGAGAGTCAGACAATAATTGTCGCTTGAGAACCAATCATTTGTGGATACCCGAGAATTTCTGCCGTTTGCCTGACTGCGAAGGACATCTTTGAGTTTAGAAATGACTCTGAGAAATCATTTCGCAAAAACTACACGAGAGAAATTCGTCAGAAGGTAAAAATTATATTTTTTTATGTACAAAAAAGAAAAATGATACACACACATGTATGCATATCTACTTGAATCCAATCAATTTGTTTCAACTCCTTATATTCAAAATTATTATGTGGATTATAATACAAAGCAATGACTTTGCTTTTTAAATCAGAAATTTCGAAACCAAAATTAATTTGTCATAGAAAATATCTTACATATAAATAAATAAATATAAAAAGAATATTTGACAGATTTTAATAAATAAAAATAAATAAATAAAATATATAAATTAAATTTTAATAAGAAAATGAGGAAAATTACACAAAAAGTTATTTAAACTATTGTTTGCTATCGATACAATAATTTCATCAATTATAACTATATTAAAAATAAAAAAAGTATTTATTTTAAAAATAATCAATTGACCGCATGATCAATAATTGGATGTATAATTATAGATTAACTGTATCTCAAATAAATACGAAAAGCACTCGATAATTTGATAAGTGAACTGAATCTTAGACGCAATGTTATATGAAATATTAAATATCACAGTAATTGCCACGTATTGTTGATCTCGCGGATGCATTCGAGAACGAAATTGGCAAAGCGATTGCCGTTAGAATCAATCTTGTTGGCGCGTTAACTTTTAGATCGTGTTGTGATAACGGAAATGATAGTACAAACTTGGCCAACAATTATTTTCCCGCTGGCGAATCACCGCGAATTCGATCACTTTCAGTATTTTATCTGATCCTAGGATTATAATGATCTCGTCCGTTGTATTTAATCGTTATGTACAGCTACGAAATCGAGCATTATCTCGATCCTTTCGATGAAACTGCAATTTCTTCCGATCGATACTTGATGGTTGAATTTCGCTAGAATAAATGCTGAAAAGTACAAAAATGCGTTTAAAATAAGAAAGAAGCAAGTATTTCCGCGAAAGTATGTGTGCAATTAAACGTTGCCATGACGCGAAACATTATGTTTTAACAATTTATGAGATAGCAATTTGGTGTATTTTTGTAACAGGAAATTTTTTCTTCTGTTAGAATGAAAAAGATAATTTCATAGAAAGAATTCTAAGAAAGAATATAATAAAAATATTCGTTTTTTTACACGCAAGCCAGCTGTTTTAATCTTTCGATTGAAACAAAATGATTTTCTCTGAAATTTATTTGATATTCTTTTAATGAATTTTTGTTGACTCGAATGATATGTAAAATATAATTTTTTTTAATGTAAATTTAGAATCAGAGTAACCTCTTACATAAAAAAAGTGATATATTAGAAAAATCCGTGTTTTTTAAATCTGGGGGAGCACAAACGTCAAAGTTAGCATTAAACCGCTACACTACGCAACTATTATTATTTGCAATAATGACAGACGTCCGCGCGCTTCTACGGTCTACCATTCCGGTCAGTCTAGTTTCTACTACATGCTTAGACCTCTTTCTCACAACTATCGATTACAAAGTATCAGAATTGTACTCGGCGAGCTGTGTTTAAGGAAATGAAAGAACATACGGCTCAATATGGTGACCGCGTTTTGATCCACACCCGTGTATGATTGGTACGATCATGTGTGTGCACCGCTACTGCTCGTGTATGGGCCGTAATTTCTGTTGTCGTGAAAAAAAAAATGTTTAAGAAAGCGACATATATAAGCCGCCCCATCTGAATCTAATTCATATCTCGTGCGTTGCGTTAACATCACCGGTACCTCCTTATCCGCTATATTACTCTTACGGAATAGCGGTTTTTCTGCCGTTGTGAGTGATTGCTGCTTCATGTTTTCTAGAATTGAAAATTACACCGATACCGATGTACATAAGAAATAAGGCTTCTTTGAAATATAAATTTATTATCGTGAAGAAAAGCTCCTTTGTATTTGGTATAAAAGATATTAATATATTATATGATAGCGCTACAAAATTTAGAGTTTCCTCTTTCTGATTTTGTTGCGATTGTATCTCCATTATAAAACATATTCATAATTCATATTAATTTTTTATTCAAAATTTTATTATTAATATTACAATAAATTGTTAATTAAGGTTATTAAGATATTTAATAATATTAATAAAGACTAATTTTACTAAGGCCTCATTAATATACATTATGATTAGATTTACTTAACACTAAATTAATTTTTCTTTAATTTAAACATTTTAACAGCAATGCACCATTTCGATAAAAAAAAGAAAAATAAAGCATGTCTGACCAAGAAATTCAAACAGCGACGAGATTACGTTTTACGAATCTTCTCTTTTTCCATCCCTCTTTCGCCATTTTGCTTTCCATCTAGATCTACGGGCCTTTCTCCAAAGAATCGACAACAATGTATCAAGGAGTTGGCGGAGATGTATACTCACGAACATAAAAAAACAGGAGATACATGCGACTCGACGCGCTGGCCGTGTTAGACTTTCCACGCCCGTGTGCATGCGCTCCTATCTCCATCGCGGCGCGTACGCTTACACATGCACATGCACATGCACATGCACATGCACATGCACATGCACATGCACATGCACATGCACATGCACATGCACATGCACAAGACATGTATACGGAAATGCAGTACCCGTTCTCTCTCTCTCTCTCTCTCTCTCTCTGTTTCTCCGTGTTGTGCGTTCTTGCTCGCCGCGGAAAACATAATGATGGCGAGCGAGCGAAGCTGCGAGCGTTCGTTCGTTCGTTCGTTCGTTCGTCTGGGACTCGTGTTGGAAACCGGCGATAAGGAGGGAGTGTCTACTGCTGCCATAATGATAGCCCTGAGCGCCTCTCCGACTCCGCTGCGCCGTTCTCTACAACCGCCGCGGCAATGCACGCCGCGCGTAAGTATGCACATGCACCGAAGACACATGCACGCGAAGCCGCGCCGGCGATGCGCGCTCGTCGCAGCATTTTCGCAGCTCCAGATATCTTGCTCTTTTCATCCCTATCGCATCGTGGAGCACAATACGATCGATAGCTCCGAAGAGGACGCCTCAATGAATTTCTATACGTTTTTATTTTTCAAAGGATGAAGATGCAAGGAGATACTTTCTAAAGGACGAGATACTCTTTGATTTCTTGTAAACTCGATTTGCAACATATATAAGGAATTTTGACACAAGAGAGAGAGAGAGAGAGAGAGAGAGAGAGAGAATATTAATAACTATTATTTTTTTAAAAATATCTATATATGCGCTACGCATGATATGTGTGGGTTTTATTAGATAAAATTTAAGTTTACTGGTTACATAATGCTGCCGACGGGCGAGCATAATGTTCGCGAGATAGGGGTAAGCAATAAAAAATGTATGCAGTCGCGTGAGTTCTTCAACATCAACCCACTAGGTACACCTCTGGGGTGGCCTCAGGGACGACGCGTAGTTATTTATTGATAATGCGAATTAATTTTTAAGCAACTGCTCGTGTATTACACATTATTCGCGTAAAGCCCCTCCAGCGTGACAGAAGTTTTCATGTTTAATTATTACAAAAGAAAAGAGAAACGATCTTTGTATTACAATGTTCTCCTGAAGAGTTGTATCGGTATCTCATCTTTTCTTTTTTTTTTTTTAAATATACGATTTAAATTTAATTCAACCATTTTTTAAATCCAATAAATCAATATTCCGTTCATTGGCGTTACATCAACAATTTGATCCCAATGGAAGATTGTCACAGCAAATATTATTAGCCGATAATTCGCGCTCAACCCCGATCTCGCGCAATACTCGAGTTCCCCGATCGAAGGGCACCACACCCTTGGCCGGTTCCGCGAGACGTAGCTGCGGGGGTTACATCGGGCATACAAGCGGGAGCGGTGTATGCGGACTCTACCATTGGTCGGGCTGGTTCAGATTCATTAGCACGAGAACGGCGATTGGCCGACCGCAAAGCACTCGTCTTTTTGCTTTCCACGCGTAATGACGTGCTGCGCGTCTCGGCCTATATGCAACCGAGAGATCGTGCATGGCAGATAGGTTCTGCCCGCGTTTGCCGCATGTGCATCGCGCGCACACGTATATAGGAAGCAGCCCGTCGAAGGTGAAAGATATCTCGAGAGGAGTGTGGAGTTACCTGCAACGCAAATGGGCCTTCACCACGCAGCCTGCGAGCAACTTGAAAGAATATATATATATATACATATGTATATGTCGGACATATATATATTTCCCTCTGTTTATTCCCCGTCAGAGAGACGATTCTTCGAGGGCGGCTAAATAATTTAATCAGAATTTTCATTCCTTGCACGAGGCTATAATTAGATAGTAAAGATATAGGTAGAGTCATCTGCGGAATATTATAATTTCCGCTAAACAGAATGAGATTTAAGATTTTTCGCACAGCTTTATTTTCATTCCCGTTTTGTAATTTTGATGCAAAGAAAAGCTTTAATTTCTCTAATTCTGTAATTAACTAATTAATTAATTTTCATTTTAAATATGAATATTCTGTGCAATGTGTGCGCGTGTAACATATATTACTGTCTCTTTTTAGAGAAATCAAAAATATTTCTATAAAAAAATAAGATATAATATATGCATGAAAAATACATGTCCGTGAGAAATGAATTAAAATCCTATTTTTGTAAAGAATAATAATATTGCAAGGTGAAACTAATTTTCTATGGTATCGTTTATACAAAGTATACGATAATGAAATATCGAGCCCGAGAATAGATTTGCTTTTCATCGTTCGCTTTTTTCGCTCGCGGGTTATTACATGCGTAATCGAGCGCCAGATACGGTAACGTATATCCCAGCACTTGCGAATGAATAAGAAATTAGGTACATGTGCATGCAAAAGAAGACCGCATTAAGGTGCAAATTTCTGTCCGTGAAGAAACACCCACTTAAATTTCAAGAAAGATATTTTTAGTCAGGATTTATGTTAATTCTCGAACAATTATGCGTAACATGTCAAGTGTCTTCAAGCGAACACGTGTTTTTGCCTTCATTTAATAGCAATTTTATACACGTTATATCGATCAAGACTTTTATTATGTATTAATATAAGAATATTAGTATTACAATAATATCTGATTACTTTGAATACATACAAAATAGAAGCGTTCGTAGAAGCGAAGTATAAATATGACACAGTCATCTCTTTTTGCGCAGATTGATATATACATTCCGGATGCACTTTCTGTTAATTGTCGTTCTGCATGATTGTTTCCTCTTAACGTTGTAATAGGTTAAGAGCATGACTCTCAAAATTGATGCTCGAGAACCAATGCAGACAATGCGACAGTGCGCCCCTATGCATTTTCGAGAGAGCGCCGGATTGGACGTAGGGTGGTTTCGGAGAGTCCTCAAAAATATCATTGAAAGCTCTATGCACGGTTCTATGTAAGCTCCAAATTAATACGCTGAAAGTAATTTATTGTTTTTCATTATCGAGAGAGAAGTGTTTACTTGTAACGCGAGTGTGATTTTCCGCGCGAAAAGTGTTAATGTTACGGAATAATTAATCACGTGGTATATTATCGGTGTTGATGATCTAACTGCCACTGTCGCGTTCATTTAATGATACCAACGAATGATAGCCATCGAGCTTAATGAATAACTATCGCTCTAGAACATTGTATCTCTTTAAATATCGTAGAACGTGTTCAACAAATTCTTGAGTAATTTAACGTAATTTTTTTAATTTTTTATTTTTTTGTCACATCTTATTGATATTAAACAATAATTTATTTTGAATAAAACAGATTTCTTTTGTGCATTAAAATTAAATTGTATAAAATTGCAAATTTCAATAATATAAATTGATTTCAAAGAACTTTTGCTTTTTATTAATGATATTGAGACATGCATCGCACGTACGGACGTTTATGTCGAATGGAATTTCGTGGCGAAAGCGTCGATAAATGTAAATTTTCAACGTTTCCGTTACCATATGGCTGTGGAATTTTAAGCTTAAAACGTGGAAGATATTAATTCTTTTTTCTTCTTGCTGTTGTGCGATGTCAGGTATTAAAAAGCGTGCAACATGATGTGTATCAAGTGCATCAAGTATTATTCGGAGACCATATGTATCATCGCCGTGTAAATTCACAAAGTTGGAGCTCGGTACAGATTACATAAATAGGAAAACATGTAATTACGAAGCAGCATGCAACATTGTTTCTAATCACTGCTTCCTCGTTCTTTGTTTCAGGATTTTTCCCAACCAACTTTGACACGCGGACTCTTTTGTATGCATCATTTATGTGTGAAGCTTAACTTTTTGCGCTATGTCGCACCTACTATTATCGCACTATATATTTATCCTTCATATATGAACCATTCTCTCATTTACTCTCCTTTACTTTGGTGAAAACAACTGCAATATACGAGACAGAAACATTTCTTCAAATCGCGAGAAATATCCCTGTAATTTCTATTATTATCTTATATTAAGTTTATATAAGTTAAATGTTTATTTTATTGATAATTTGGAAAGAATTTTGAAGAAACATTCTACAAGTAAAAAATAATATAATTATTTATACGCACGTAAATATAAATTATTGTAGCGCTTTTGATTAAGGATCCTGAGAAACTTCGAAATTTATTTGATAGAAATTTGCGAAAGAAATGAGAATAAAATGGATTGTCTATATTTTAATAATGTATTAGTATTTTAAAGAGAATTTTAGATGACATTTAAATTGACAAAAAATGTTTAATATAAAATAAAATATATAACACAAACAAAAATTGGTGCAATTATTTAAGATCAGTGGTAAGCGTACCAACACGCGGAATTATTCTTCTACCATTGTAGAATCTACAAATGTAGACACAAAATGGCCACTCAAACGTGACTTCACGTTAGCAGATATGGATCGCGCCCTCCCTGACAGTCGGAGGATTCCCTCTCGGGGGGATGGCAAACGACCAGAGGACGGGGCTGGTGTTACCATGGCAACAACGATCCCTCAGTAGCCGAACCCTCCTACACCCTTCATTCAACTCTGCCACCCCTATAATCCGCTCGAACTCGAAGACAGTCACTGCACAATTTTCACGAGAGGATATGCGCTTTCACGACGTATCATGAGAAATAAAATAAAAATTTTGATATGTGTCTGTCAAAAATTAACGATAGAATTAATTTGGCGAAAGAAAAATATTAAAATGTATTAAACAAGAATAATATTTTGATTGAGTTTATATAAAAATATTACTGGCAAAATTATAAATTAATTATTTTTAAACATTTGAAATATTCATATGGATTGATATTTATAAGTGATGCGATTCGTGTATTTTTTTTAAATCAGTTTGATTATTTGATAAATGTACATCGAGAAAATCAGAATTAATTCAAATTAAACAAAATTGTTCTCGATTATTGGATCTCAATCGAAAATGTCAGTAATTTTCTATCGATATTATTGTAACGTTAATTCATGGGAATTGTTTCACGCTAATATTTGGAAATGATTGCTACTTTGATAATGTTCAGAGATAACCAATGAAAGAGATAAGTAACAAGACCTAAAATTACGCGTGTTAGTTCTCTCTCGGCGGATAAACTATACAATTCATGATGTAAGTGTAAGTACAGATCGCGGATATATTTGCTGTGGCGGTTACGTACGTGATTGCAATTAAAGTTACTTCAATAATTGATAGTTCTGCGGGAGAAGACGCGTTGATCTATAGAAAGCGACGCAAATCACTTCTTAGAATTCAATGTGTATAATCATTCTCATGTGTGATTGCATAATTTTGTTTCCATTTTAAAAAATCTGTATTTTCACTGTAAAAAAGAATTCTCACGGTAAAATTCAGAAAATAATGTATGAATTATATATTGAAAAATAATAAATAGAAAAAGATACGTAATTATATTTCAACACATCTGTTGATTTTACTTAAAGTATCTCACATTAAAGTATGGCAAGATTTTACATCAATAAATAATAACAGATCAATTGTTAGTAATTTGAATTACAATATCGTATGGGCTTAAATTAATAAAATTATAATATCAAGATAATTGACATATGATAATATTTGATATATGATAATTGAGAAATACTTAATCAAATAGAGAGTCATGTTTCATTCAACCAGCGTCGCTGACGAGAGAACGATTAACCCTTTCATTGCCTTTGTATTGCCCTAATCTACAAAAGACGAACGCAAAAGGTTGAATTCGAAGCGAGATTTTCTCGTATCAGGGGGGTTACCCTCGTCGATTCCATAGCCTCGTCGGTTACGTATTCACGCCTGACTCCATCAGAATAAATGTCGCGAGTTAGACGGCTAGATAAAACGTCTTCGTGCTAATTACTCTACAGGAGTTAAAAAGGGCACAGTCTGGCCCCTTTGTCGAGTGCTTAACGAAGCGTCCAAAAGCTACCTTGAACAAAGTTTGAGTCTGACCTAAATAAATATTCATGGGAGACAGCGATCGCCGGCGCGACTCGTCTGCGTTCCTCTTCCGTTTATTAATTATTTTTTTTTTTTTTGTTACAACGTGCTTTTTCCCGCCCCGGGGAGATACGCATACATATATGCATACGCGACGCTACACGTGGGCGAAAAATCCGAAAAAGGCCCATGTGAGAGAAAGGAGCAACGCGGTCGATCGCATATCGTAATATCGCTCGGTCGATTAACATAATATCTCTGCTTCTTTCGTATTCAAAACGGGCCACCGCCGCGGCCAGGATAATGGTACTCCCGATCCGTGTTTATACTAATGCTAGGTTTGCTGAGACGAGCTCTAAGATCATAATGAGTCTTCGATCGAATTAGGCAGAAGGGTGTCTCTCGTCGCGCTCCTTCTTGATTTCGCTCCGCCGACGCTCCGTCTTTTTGCCCTCCTTGCGTCGAATCCTGGTGGATATCACGATGCTTTTTTTACGTGCGTCATTAAAAATGAGGAAAGGAAAGGAGGGAGGGTGACCACGAAAATTTGTACCGTTAAAGCATCATTTTTTACTACGATCTTATTAAAAATGATTCAGCGAAGCGACCGACATCCAGCATTTAATGTTACTCTTTGTTCTTCGTGATACTTTGTGGAACCTCAAACAGGTCGACGATTTTTAATATAATTTAATGTACTTTATAAGAAGGATTTCTATTATATTAGTTAATATGTGTTATAGTACTCTTCAAAGATTTAAATAATCAAATAATATCAAGTTATATACATTGTATATGATATTAAAAAGCTCTCAGCTCAATCTATAAATATTGATAATTTTTTGATATTAATAAATAGATTAATTCTTCTTTCAATTGCAGTCTAAGTTAACGCGATAGAAGTTTTTTTCGATGCGTTTAAAATATTCGTCGATTGATCGATGATTCGAGATGATGTGGTAGAAAAGTAACTCCTCGTTTGGGGAAGATCAACAGTTTTCCCGTGAAACGAGCTTAAAATCTCCCCCTCAAAGAAGTGCCATTAGCGGCGAACGCGGCTTTAGAAGCTCCGAGCTTTCTCGTCGCACTTTCGAATATAGCAACATCGGTCGTAGCTCGTTATTCTCTCGTTGTCAATGACGTTCGTAATATTGCATCCATTTCATCCACCTCCCTTCGTCGGGGTTGAATCGTTGCCTTTTAATCTTAAGTGCGGAACAATGCTGTTGCAATTCTCGCGATGGCACAAATGCAAACTTTTCCTCGGATTCCTCTCGCTAAATGTATCCTCGAAATAAAGCATTTTATTCTTCGCGTTATTTCTCATCTATCAAAGTATCTATTTTATCTATATCTTAAGATTTTATAAGAGATAAAGTTAATATTTTGAAGGGAGGAAGAAAGGCAGATCTGTCTTTACAAATAATTTTAAAATTATATAACATAAAATTCCTTTCATATTAATAAATAATAGATTACATAATTAAATAATAGATTACACAGGTCATCGTAGTTTTTTCAATCATTTTTTTCTTAATAATTTCCTTCAATTATAGTTTAAAGTTGCATTATAACCGCTCATTATACGACAAATTTATATCTAGTAGTTTCTGAAGTAATTTTTTTATTCGCTTTATTTATCTTCTGTTTATTTTATTCATTGCACTTGTTTATTCGCGAAAAATGATACGATGAGTCATTGCGATTTCTTAATAATATGATGATGCGTTCGTCGAAATCGGCGTTACTTTCCTCGCAACATACGCACGAGCAAATATGTGAGTGTAGTGATAGTGCCGCGAGCTTTGTACAATCTCGGATAGTCCGATGCAGGCCGTGTGTCGCTCGGCATAAAACGTCGGCCGCAAAATTCGGGATTAATGCGTTTTTAATAGTGACATAACTGCGCCGCTCGCTCGCCTGCGCTTTTTTCCCGACGCGCGTTTCGCGGAAAGCCCGAATATTATGTTGGCGCCGGCGGAGTGGACTTTTAACGATCCTCGAAAAGGGAAGCAGAAAATCGCGTGCATGTGTTATGGGCAGGAATGCTCCACTTTCTTGGGAACTTACCGCGATGTGCACGAAAGCCTGAGAGACTATGGGACACGCATCCTACTCGTTACACAGTTGACCGTCGCCGTTTTGACAGACGAGAGAAGCCTGATGCGTCGACGACTGTACATGTCTTCGCAGAAACATTGTTAGTTGAGGGCTTCGAGAATTCCTCTCTCTTTTTTTACCGTGAATTCAAATATTTTCTTTTTACTTTTTATGTATTTTTAAGTACAAAGCTGCACATATTAATGCACAAGCCGATCAAAATGTATCGACGATTGAATAAAAATATATAATAAACGATTGAATAATCAATATCTTGATTACACAGATGAAATTGCACAGAATAATGCGATTATACATAACCGATATAAATATATTTTCGGGTCTATCAAAAGCTTCTTTGCTGTTGAAGAAGAACGCACCCTTTTATAACAATGTTTAGCACGACTCGCTCTATCCGTCGCCATTTTGCGATGGAAGATGCTTGCTGTTCCTCTTCTCTTCTCTTCTCTTCGTTTTTTCGCGGACCGTTTCGTCGTCCTAATCATTGTTATTACGGGAGGATGCCCCGCTTGCGCACACGCGCTTTTTCTCCCTCGTTCACATCCCCCATGCATCCCCCGTGCGCGCCGTCTCGTCCACCCTCGGCGATAGATTTCGGTCAAGCCAATTACATTTTTTCCCCGGTCGTGGAAGGAATAAAACTATGATACACCCGGCCGGTATCGCGCTCCCCACCTGCCTCGAATAGCATCGGCCGACCTCAGAAACCCCAAAAATAATCCCGCACAAAATTCGTAGGCGCGACAGACGCGCCTAATGCCAATAATCATGGCCGGATCATCATCTCCTGATCTTCGTAATATCGTATTCTAATTTCCGCACGTTGTCCCGACCTTTACAGGGAGATACGTGGAAAAATATCGGCGCCAAACTTCTGCCT